CCTCTGTCCTCAGACCCTCTGTCCTCAGACCCTCTGTCCTCAGACCCTCTGTCCTCAGACCCTCTGTCCTCAGACCCTCTGTCCTTAGACCCTCACATCGTACAAGGAAACACTTCCGGAGAAACCCCACAGTTTAAAGGGAACATGGGAGAAACCTCAGGGAGAGCAACAGAGGAGGGATCCCTCTCCCAGGACGGACAGACGTGCAATAGATGCCGTGTGTAAATCCAAGAGATAATACATTTTACAGCATAGGTAGACTAAATTCAACTATTTCAGTATAAGTTTAATGCAAGATTTAGGGTGGTTAATATATAATTTACACATTACAAACAGTAAAAGCAACTTCTATGTATTCTACAAACTACAACTAATAAAATATATTCACTCTTAATTAGGGCTGCACGATATATCGTGTTGTGACGATAATCGCGATATGCGCGATATTCACATCGCGTGGACGTAGAAAAAAAAGTATAATTTCTTTTTTTTTAGGACTTGTGATATTAAGTAGGCAAATTAACTCAAACACGTCATGTTACATTTATTTTGCTGCTTGCTACAAAAGGAAAACTTGCGCGGCTCTCATGTCAGGGGTTCCTGAGTGAGTGACAGCAAACCAATCACCATCAGATCTCCAGAGCAAACGGACGGTGATTAAAGGTAGAAACACTGAATAAAGTGGTTTCATGTGTTTCTCCAGTTCGGCGCTGCTAACCGAGCTAGCTCAGCTCGTTGCTCTGATAACTGAAGATCCAGACGTCCGTGTCTAAAATCCTTGATCCGGTTAAATATAGTTAAAAAAATACCAATTGTATCATTAAAGTTCAAGAAAGGATGGTTTGCGGAAAAAAAAAGAAACGGTCTTTTCTTCAATTCCTGTATGTTTTCATATCGCAATATCTATCGCAATGTCAGTGTTTTCCAATATCGTGCAGCCCTACTCTTAATGCATATAAGCAGAGAAAGGTAAGAACATCTCACATTTTGACAGTGTTGGGGAAGTTACTTTTAAAAAGTAGTGTTTGCTCGTTACTCGTTACTTCTTTAAAAAAGTAATCCCTTATTTTACTTAGTTACCCTCCAAGGAAAGTAACTTTTTACGTTATTCGTTACTTTTACGTTACTTTTATGTTGCTCGATTTTGGGCAGAACCCCATCTCTGTTCCTAAATGTGTAGGCTTACATAAAGTTCTACTATGGAGGACATAACAGATATGTCTTTTGTGCTCTTTATCATGTGACCGTGCTGTAGTTCCTATAATATAGCCCAACATTAGCCTCCTTTAGCTTAGCGGTGGTGACGTGAAGTCATGTGACCGTGCTATAGATCCTTTATAGCCCAACATTAGCCACCTTTAGCTTAGCGGTGGTGACGTGAAGTCATGTGACCGTGCTGTAGTTCCTTTATAGCCCAACATTAGCCTCCTTTAGCTTAGCGGTGGTGACGTGAAGTCATGTGACCGTGCTATAGATCCTTTATAGCCCAACATTAGCCACCTTTAGCTTAGCGGTGGTGACGTGAAGTCATGTGACCGTGCTGTAGTTCCTTTATAGCCCAACATTAGCCACCTTTAGCTTAGCGATGGTGATGTGAAGTCATGTGACCGTGCTGTAGTTCCTATATAGCCCAACATTAGCCTCCTTTAGCTTAGCGGTGGTGACGTGAAGTCATGTGACCGTGCTGTAGTTCCTTTATAGCCCAACATTATCCTCCTTTAGCTTAGCAGTGGTGACGTGAAGTGGTGTTAATATGTGGTGATTTTGTATCCAACATCATATCGAGCAGCGGTTTTCAAAGTGTGAGGCGTGCCTCCCCTGGGGGGCGCCAGAGAGCTTCAGGGGAGGCGCAGCGTGAGAAGAAAAGAACGAGAAACAGTGAAATCTAGCTAGTTACCTTCAGCTAACTTTATGCGAGCGGCAACAAGGATCCATTTGTAGTGAAGTTACCTAACGTGAGAGAGGAGACAGCGTCTGGCAGAAAACGTCACTTCCACACTTTTGGCTGTCTGTGGAGACCGAGTCCCCCACCTCGCCTAAAAGGCTGTAAAAGTGCTCATTCCCTTCACCTCCACCTACCTGTGTGAGTGCTCATTCCCTTCACCTCCTCCTACCTGTGTGAGTGCTCATTCCCTTCACCTCCACCTACCTGTGAGAGTGCTCATTCCCTTCACCTCCCCCTACCTGTGAGAGTGCTCATTCCCTTCACCTCCTCCTACCTGTGAGTGTTCATTCCCTTCCCCTCTTCCTACCTGTGAGAGTGCTCATTCCCTTCACCTCCTCCTACCTGTGAGTGTTCATTCCCTTCCCCTCTTCCTACCTGTGAGAGTGCTCATTCCCTTCCCCTCCTCCTACCTGTGTGAGTGCTCATTCCCTTCACCTCCTCCTACCTGTGTGAGTGCTCATTCCCTTCACCTCCTCCTACCTGTGTGAGTGCTCATTCCCTTCACCTCCTGCTACCTGTGTGAGTGCTCATTCCCTTCACCTCCTCCTACCTGTGTGAGTGCTCATTCCCTTCACCTCCTCCTACCTGTGTGAGTGCTCATTCCCTTCACCTCCACCTACCTGTGTGAGTTCTCATTCCCTTCACCTCCTCCTACCTGTGTGAGTGCTCATTCCCTTCACCTCTTCCTACCTGTGAGAGTGCTCATTCCCTTCACCTACCTGTGTGAGTGCTCATTCCCTTCACCTCCACCTACCTGTGTGAGTTCTCATTCCCTTCCCCTCCACCTACCTGTGTGAGTGCTCATTCCCTTCACCTCTTCCTACCTGTGTGAGTACTCATTCCCTTCACCTCTTCCTACCTGTGAGAGTTCTCGTTCCCTTCCTCCTACCTGTGTGAGTGCTCATTCCCTTCCCCTCCACCTACCTGTGTGAGTGCTCATTCCCTTCCCCTCCACCTACCTGTGTGAGTGCTCATTCCCTTCACCTCTTCCTACCTGTGTGAGTGCTCATTCCCTTCACCTCTTCCTACCTGTGTGAGTGCTCATTCCCTTCCCCTCCACCTACCTGTGTGAGTGCTCATTCCCTTCCCCTCCACCTACCTGTGTGAGTGCTCATTCCCTTCCCCTCCACCTACCTGTGAGAGTGCTCATTCCCTTCACCTCTTCCTACCTGTGTGAGTGCTCATTCCCTTCACCTCTTCCTACCTGTGTGAGTGCTCATTCCCTTCCCCTCCACCTACCTGTGAGAGTGCTCATTCCCTTCCCCTCCACCTACCTGTGTGAGTGCTCATTCCCTTCCCCTCCACCTACCTGTGTGAGTGCTCATTCCCTTCCCCTCCACCTACCTGTGTGAGTGCTCATTCCCTTCCCCTCCACCTACCTGTGTGAGTGCTCATTCCCTTCCCCTCCACCTACCTGTGTGAGTGCTCATTCCCTTCACCTCTTCCTACCTGTGAGAGTGCTCATTCCCTTCACCTCCACCTACCTGTGAGAGTGCTCATTCCCTTCACCTCCACCTACCTGTGTGAGTGCTCATTCCCTTCCCCTCCACCTACCTGTGTGAGTGCTCATTCCCTTCACCTCTTCCTACCTGTGTGAGTGCTCATTCCCTTCCCCTCCACCTACCTGTGTGAGTGCTCATTCCCTTCACCTCTTCCTACCTGTGTGAGTGCTCATTCCCTTCCCCTCCACCTACCTGTGTGAGTGCTCACTCCCTTCCCCTCCACCTACCTGTGTGAGTGCTCATTCCCTTCCCCTCCACCTACCTGTGTGAGTGCTCACTCCCTTCCCCTCCACCTACCTGTGTGAGTGCTCACTCCCTTCACCTCTTCCTACCTGTGTGAGTGCTCACTCCCTTCCCCTCCACCTACCTGTGTGAGTGCTCACTCCCTTCCCCTCCTCCTACCTGTGTGAGTGCTCATTCCCTTCCCCTCCACCTACCTGTGTGAGTGCTCACTCCCTTCCCCTCCACCTACCTGTGTGAGTGCTCATTCCCTTCCCCTCCACCTACCTGTGTGAGTGCTCATTCCCTTCCCCTCCACCTACCTGTGTGAGTGCTCATTCCCTTCACCTCCTCCTACCTGTGTGAGTGCGGGTTTTCTGCATTGACTTTGATCAAAAGCAAGTGCCGGTCAAGCAGGAGCGGATCTACCGTAAAAATAGTCTTGCCGCCCCAGCTGCCGCCCCAGTTGGCAGCTTTGTTTTGAAATAAAAGTTGTGGCTCATCGGACATTGATGAGAGGAAGTCTCTAATGTCCGAGTGCAAGTGAATGCAGCACAAGACGCGAGCCTTGTGACCCCTCAGCCCTGGCGCGAGCGAGGAAATGTGATTGGCGGCGATTTCATTTGAACGGGACGGCGCATTCTGACCCAAGTAGAAGGAAGGGATGAGGTGCGGTCTCCACTGACAGAGAAGAGCCTGTCAGGTTGGCTGCACTCAGCATCGAATCAAAACGCACTAAAGCTTTGATCTCAATCAGTCTGCGAGGCGTGTTGCTGAACAACATGGTAATCGCTGCATTCAGCTGTTATAGGCAACTTGATGCTCTGCTCACGGACGAGTCGATGAGCAAAACAAACTGTTAAGATGATGACCTTACGTGTGTAAATATATGTTTTCTTTGTCAAATCAGACGGTGTGTGAAACTACACTGCCCAGCCAACAGAAAGGAACCACTTTGATTGAACCAGCAGGTAAGGGCTTTCCACTGGATCATAATACCCCTGCATTATAGCAACAACAACACTAATAATAATAATTATTGGGAGGGGGGGCGCGGCTGTTCTTATGTTCTCTGAGGGGAGGCTCACCTTCCCACACTTTGAAAACCCCTGATATGGAGGAATCCCATTGGACCAGGGAGATGCTGCCTTCAGGGACCAACACAGAAATACATACGTCCACTTTTCTGGCACACTAACTGGCAAATTAGTGGGTATTTTGTATGCTTTGTAAGGGCAGCTGCAGTACATACTGAAAGTAAAAGTAAGTATGTTTGACAATGAAGGGTGTGTGTGTGTGTGTGTGTGTGTGTGTGTGTGTGTGTGTGTGTTTACCTCTGAGGGAATGTCCCAGGTCAGTTTCTGAGGGAGGGGAAGCGATCGGTCCACGTCTCCTTTACAGTGTCCGTCCTCAGTGTATCCCAGCTGGAAGGCATCGGTGGCCAGAGTGTACTGCAACACACACACACACATATTAACACACACACAATTAACATTAAGCTTTTTTTGCTGTAACAAATGTAAATGTCCCCTCTGTGGGACGAATAAAGGTATTCTGATAATACAGGCTAGAAAACACACACACACACACACACACACACACACACACACACACACACACACACACACACACACACACACACACACACACACACACACACACACACACACACACACACACACACACACACACACACACACACACACACACACACACACACACACACACACACACACACACACACATTATTTCGATTCATAATTTGATAAATGATTTAATGATGGAAAATGATTTGTGTTGCCATGGTGAATATGTTTTGAGGAAATGATTGTTAATTTTATATCGTAAATATGATCTGTTTCCTTGTACCTTCCGGTGTGTATTTAAGAGAGGTAATTGAGGACAGCCGGCGAGCTCGGAGACCTGATGAGACGGGGAGCGGAACAGGTTTTCGATCGCAAATTGTAAACAGAGATTAGTGTTGCAATTTGGACTGCAAAGTATAGTTTATATAAGAAAGTATATCGCCGAAATATTGACTCTTTTGAAATCCTTAAAGGACAAAATGAACAAGCTAAAGTTGACATTTGGATCACAACATCTGTCTGTGGAGGACATTAGAGAAGCTGAAAGGTCAATACTTCACTCCGAGCAAAGACGTCACTTCTCTCAGGAACTTGCACTTTTGGAGAAGGGAAGGCAAGTAAGAGCAAGCAGCTCTATCAGGAAGCTGGACCCAATCTTAGTTGAAGGCATGCTAAGAGTGGGAGGACGAATAAGCAAATCAGCAATGCCAATGGATCTGAAGAACCCCATTATCCTGCCCAGAGACTCGACTGTATCCAAACTGATCCTGGGCCACATCCATCAGCAGATTGGACACTCGGGGAGAAGCCACATGCTCTCAAGACTAAATCAAAGATTCTGGTTGCATCGTGCTAACTCGGCAGCCAGAAAGATAATCAGAGCCTGTGTTTTCTGCCGAAGAATGCTGGCCACAGTTGGAGAGCAGAACATGGCTGACCTCCCAGAGGATCGGGTGTCTCCAGATCTACCACCCTTTACTCATGTTGGTATCGACTTCTTTGGACCCCTGGAGGTTAAACGAGGCAGAGCAAATGTAAAACGTTGGGGAGTGATCTTCACCTGCCTTGTGAGTCGTGCCATACATCTGGAAGTTTCGAGCTCATTGGACACTGACTCCTGCATCAATGCTTTGCGCAGATTCATATGTCGCAGAGGGCAGGTGACAAGCATCAGGACCGACAACGGCACAAACTTTGTGGGAGCACAGAAAGAGCTGAGAGCTGCTCTTAAAGACCTGAATCAACACAAGATTCAAAATGCATTACTCGGGGACGGAGTAAAATGGACTTTTAATCCGCCATATGGAGCCCACCATGGTGGAGTTTGGGAGAGGCTCATCAGACCTGTAAAAAAGATTCTGTGTTCCGTTCTAAAAGAACAGAGATTGGATGATGAGACTCTACAGACAGCTTTGTGCGAAGTTGAGAGCATCATGAATGACAGACCATTGACTACAGTTTCAAGTGACTCAAACGATCTCGAACCCCTCACGCCAAATCACCTCCTTCTGCTAAAGACAAAACCGATTCTGCCACCTGGACTCTTTCACAAGGAGGACTTGTACTCACGGAGGAGATGGAGACGGCACAATACCTCGCAGATCTCTTCTGGAGGAGATGGATAAGAGAATATCTCCCAATCATGCAACAGCGAGTCAAATGGCACAACCCCAAACCGAACCTTCGCCCCAATGATCTCGTCGTCATCGTGGATAACACGGCACCAAGAAATTCCTGGCAACTGGGCCGGGTGATAAAGACACTGTCAGGATCCAAAGGGCTTGTCCGAAGTGTCTTGGTGAAAACCAAGGGTAGCACCTTACAGCGACCAATTGACAAGCTCTGTCTACTCCTGGAAGCAGTTGATTGAACACAAGGTGTCATGTGCTAGTAACCTCTGACACCCAGTATCACACACACACATGCCCCCCCCCTTTTCCTCTTGAACTCATGCAAACACACCTAACACAAACATTGGACTATGAACTATGACAATGATTGTATATTGGTGACAGTTACATTTTGAGTAACTGCTTGTTTTTTGGCTCTATTATAATGTATTAATTGTTTTGCTACTGCGTCAACAATTAGGGGCCGGTGTGTGAGAGCCACAACGTTATTATTTCGATTCATAATTTGATAAATGATTTAATGATGGAAAATGATTTGTGTTGCCATGGTGAATATGTTTTGAGGAAATGATTGTTAATTTTATATCGTAAATATGATCTGTTTCCTTGTACCTTCCGGTGTGTATTTAAGAGAGGTAATTGAGGACAGCCGGCGAGCTCGGAGACCTGATGAGACGGGGAGCGGAACAGGTTTTAAACCGCAAATTGTAAACAGAGATTAGTGTTGCAATTTGGACTGCAAAGTATAGTTTATATAAGAAAGTATATCGCCGAAATATTGATTTAGATTTGTTATTTTGAGACTATTTAAGTCAATACTTTTTTGTTAATAAATTACATTTTTTGACTGAAAACCTTCGGCTGCTTATTGTCTTGGATTGCGTGTCGTCAACCCCGCTCTATAGTGGCAGAGAGGAAACCTTGGACACACACACACACACACACACACACACACACACACACACACACACACACACACACACACACACACACACACACACACACACACACACACACACACACACACACACACACACACACACACACACACACACACACACACACACACACACACACACACACACACCACACACACACACACACACACACACACACACACACACACACACACACACACACACACACACACACACACACACACACACACACACACACACACACACACACACACACACACACACACACCTCTTTCCGTTAGCGTTGGTGGTGAGCATAGCTGCCTTCCAAGCAGTTGACCCGGGTTCGATTCCCGGCCAACGCAACCCTATTATAATATATTAAATTTGTAAAATGTACAGTGTGATTTTAAGTCCAAGTAGAGGAACCGGAGGGTCGCGGTTCAAGTCGCAACGGAACCAAAAATATTAATAAAGTCTGATCTTACATGTCCCCTGTTTTTTTTGAACAATATATTATAGGTCTATACAAAACATTTCTCTGAAGTGTTTGGCACCAACGGATCATGCATTGTCATTACACACACACACACCTCCCACAGGTGAGCCACAGTAGGTGCGTCGGCCCAGGAGTGTTCTGCGTTGAGGCCACTCTTCCCGTTCTTGTAGATCACGATGGAGAAAGATTTATCGAACCACCTGAGGGAGAGGAAGATGGAGACGCGTGAGAAAATATTTCATGCATTACAAAAACGTTGTGGTCTCTCAACCACAGACCAAACATTTCCTCCTCCCTCCGTTCGTCAGTAAATAATAATAAGTTAAACCTCAGACTTTAATCTCTGAATTCTTAGAAAATAACTTAACGGTTAATTCAGACATTTTCACGTGCTTTAACTTCACCAAACAATGTGTTGAATGCCATTTAAATGACTGGAGACTTCCGATTTCAAAGCAGCTCAAAAGTTAACGTGCTTTCTTCTGGGTTCAGTGAGAGATATTGATCCCTGTTTGCGACCCCTTCTCTAGACGCCAATTAGTTGCATTCCCTGTTTGTCATTCCTCACCAATCGCAGCACTTTCAGTAAGAATACTTAAATCAGAATTCCAACTTATTTAAAAAAAAAAAAAAAAGATTAAAAAGCAGCTAAAAAGTTTACTACTATTTAGCTTTTTCTGGGTTCAGTGAGAGATATTGATCCCTGGTTTGCGATCCATTTTCTAGATGTTAATTTGGTTTGTCGTTCCTCACCGATCGTAGCACTTTCTGTAAGAATACTTTAATCAGAATTCCAACTTCTTTTCAAAAAATTCTGTCTTTTTTGTTAAATTTGACTTTTTCCTAAAAAAAAAAATCTGACTTTTTCTTATTTTTGATTTATTTTCCTCAGAATTCTTAGGGAAAAAACACGTTAAGTCGATATTTTAACTTGACCAAATAATGTATTTAATGCGATTTAAATGACTGGATACTTCGGATTTCAAAGCAGCTAAAAAAGTTAAGGTGTTTTGCTTTCTTCTGGGTTCAGTGAGAGATATTGATCCCTGTTTGCGACCCCTTCTCTAGACGCCAATTTGTGTTATTTCCCACGTGTCGTCCTCTCCGATCGCAGCACTTTCCGTAAGAATACTTTAATCAGAATTCCAACTTATTTAAAAAACGTTTTCTTACATTTGATTTATTTCCCCAGAATTCAAGATTTTTTCTCAGAATTCCGACTTTTTCTCAGAAATCTTAGGGAAAAAACACGTTAAGTCGACATTTTCACATATTTTTAACCTTAACAAATAATGTTTTTAATGTGATTAAAATATTACACAATTCACGGTTACTTCGGATTTCAAAGCAGCTAAAAAGTTTACTACTATTTTGCATTTTCTGAGTTCAGTGAGAGATATTGATCCCCGTTTGCGGCCCCTTCTCTAGACGGCAATTTGTGTTATTTCTCACCGATCGTAGCAGTTCCCGTGCAGAATGGACTTGGCGTATCGGTCCAGATTTCCCACGGGATCGTCTCCCTTCATGCCTTGTTCTTCATCGTCCAGCGTCACGAAGAAGGCCGACCTCTCGATGATATCCAGAGATCGCTTATTGATCCCAGAGCTGAAATACTGCTTTCTGATCTTAGCCCAAGGAACCCTGAGAGAAACACAAAGGAACACTATTAGATAACTTAGAAAACACATCATCAGACACACAAACACAAGCACATGTGAAACTGGTCAAAAACACTCATTAAAAAAAGGGAAAGGATGTGCATTTATTTACCTACACTGCTTCCTGCACATTTAAATGTATATATTTAATCTTGTTTATATATCCGTGTACATTCACTTGATCACATTTTTGTTATTTCTTTTCATACTTTTACTCATTTGTTATCAACTCAAACAAGATGTGATCTGTCAAAAAGTGAACTTAAGTGTGTGAGTGTTTTCTGCTGTGTTCACATGCCTTGTTTATCTCCCCTGTCCATCAGCATTAACACACTCCAAATTATTCCCAACACAACTGTTGGGAATAATTTGCTTTGGTATTCAACCTTTGACACAGTTCATAATTTTCTCCTTTCCCACGGCATGGGTCTACGGCCTGGGGTATTGCTGCTATCTCTCTTAAGGTAGGAGGAGCAGCTTGGGCGCATTGTTGTTGTTTATGACCGAGCCCAAGCTGACATGAGGTACTGTTCAGGGACGTAGGTTTCCTCGAGCTCTGGTTAGATTCAGGGTCCATATTGCTTTAGGCCCCGGCCACACGAGGACGAAAACGGTCGTTTGCGTTACTGTTTAGTGTCGTATAGACCGTTCGGCCACGAGGACGACCGAATACGGCACTAAACGACTGCGGAAACGATAACGGGTCCCAAGGTGGATAGAACGGCATACGCATCGCTCTGGGGGGTCAAACGGCTCCGTGTGTGCGCCATATACGATCATTTTCTGATAATGATGAGGCAATAGCCCCGCCTCTCTCCACCTCTGCTGCTCACCCCCGCGTCAAAGTAAACTGCACACTGAATTCAGATTATTTATCTTTCTCTCGATATGGACATAAACGCGAGTGAAGTCTAATCTGACAGGACGGAGACACCTCTCAAACCTAAACTAGTTATAAATATGTTTATTTGTACTGTCGGCCGGGTCACTCATTACTGGATCAGCTGCTGCGTGAGACAGACACTGACGCTGTCCGAAGAGAGGGAGGAAAAAGAGAGGCTCCGTGTATTTTATTATTATATTATATAGAGTCGTTATTCATTTGTTTTAAAGCTCAATAAATAACAAAGAAGACCTTTGACCGGCACTTTTATCATTTTGTCGGAAGATTTCAACTTTAATTCACGTTGACTGGCGAAAAACTCTGCCCGGTTCCCTCGGCCCCCACCGCGGAGAATAAACAGAAGGGCAACCATGACAACCATGCTTCTTCGCTGCTTTTGTGGAGGAAGTTACAGCGCCACGTACAGGCTCGGCATATGTACTGCAGCTTCTCCAGCGGTTGGAGCTAAACGGAGCGGTCTCGTGTGGACAGACACTATCCGGTGAATATTGCGTGTGGACGGAAGCTTTTTTGCGATTGCGTTAATCCTATGCGTTTAGCCGTTTTCGTCCTCGTGTGGCCTTAGTCTCACTGATGAAGAATGTTGATTATTACGCTCTGAACTAGTTCAAACCTGGAGCTACAGTAACAGGAGGGCTCTTCAGAATTGATTTGGCATCTCAACCTGTGGTCAACCCGTGGCATGTCTTGTGAATTCTCCGGCCGAAGCTCCAAATAAACCGTCTGTTTGCCATCAAAGCTCCAGCTCTCCTCGTCTCTCTGAGTCCTGACTCTCCATTGCTTCAGAAGTTTCCCCCACACACCATCCTTTCCTCCTCCCGGTGACTCTTTGTTACAGAAGCATATCCGCCATTATTTCCTGATACGAGTTTCCTTTTTATCTGACCTTCTTCATTTTGTCTCCATTTCTAACTCTGTGAAAAACAACTTGCAGAGACTAGAAATACTGCCTGTAATATCTAATTCATTACAGACGAACGGAAGAGGTTTAGGACCACGCGTAAAAGAAGCTTGATATCTGACCAAAAGTTAGCTATTTTTTATAAAAGTCAGAATTCTTAAGATAAAAATCCGCTTTGGTCAGATCCTAATTTCTGAGATTTAAAGGTGGGGTAGGTAATTCCCTTCAGAAACACGTTGTTATATTCCATGGAATGCTCTTAACGTCCCGATAGCAATGAATATATTAAATACTTTGACAATAAATACATCAAATATAAATATCATCAGTGGAAGCCGTGGCGCTTTAAAAAGCTCGACCAATCATCTGAGCCGGCTAAAGTAACTGGATGGCCTACCTGCCTGTCAGCCTTCCATCTGAGCACAAACTTATCTCGTGCCCTCATTGGTCATGTGCGCGTTCGTGTGTGTTGGAGGAGGGGCTCTGTGAGGAAGTCTCCATTCTTACCTACCCTGCCTTTAAGTCAGAATTCCAGGTTACAGTATTGAGAACCTTTTCAGAAATTATCTTCACTGAATTCTGACTTTTTTTCTCAAAACCTTTTTCCTTAAAATTTGACTTTTTCCTCAGAATTCTTAGGGGAAATAAAAACCTTGAGTTCGGATCACAATTTATTTTTAGATCTGACCAAAAGTCATATATCCAATCTGACATTTAAAGTCAAAATCCTGACTGTAATCCACTATTGTTCAGATCTGAATTTGGGATCCCACGACGTCAAAAAGCTTCTAACGTCTTCCTTTAAAAGACAAGTTATACTTCAGTGAACAATGCACTGCTTCCTCCAAACAGCCCTTGAGATGAAGTGCCTTGAATCCGAAAGCTCTCCAGAGCTTATCGGGCTGTTAACCTTTGAGCCCATTTGTTCTTTAGATTGCGCAATATCCTGACCCCGGGGCTCAGATAGGAAAGTGTGGTTCAGAACATGACCTGGGTGTGTGCGTGTGTGTGTGTGTGTGTGTGTGTGTGCGGTGTCATTATACTGGAGGGGAAGTGTGTACTCTGCTGCCGCCCAGTGGTTACAGTCTATAATCCTACAACATGCTGAGGAGTGCTGAGAAGATTGATTCTGATGTGTTGAAATGTACGGAGCCCTGGAGGGTTCATAGAGAGAAAAATAAATAAAACGTGGCCACGTTTTACTTTCTCGTGCGCACGCTTTAGTAACTCGTGCGCACAAGTTACTAAAGCGTGCGCACGAGTTACTAAAGCGTGCGCACGAGTTAATAAAGCGTGGCCTCGTTTTATTTAAATTGAGGGATTCCTGTCCGTGACTCACAGTGTCTGCTGCCCACAGCTGTTTTATAGAAGGAAAACCTCCTTCACTTTATGAAATCTCAGCGGCACCAGTGGCCTGTACTACGAAGCAGGATTTGCTATTTACACTATTCATTCATGAAGTATGACGCTGCGCTGTCAGCACGCGTCTCCATGTTTGTGATTGGTCAAATGTTGCTAACCCCGTCCCTTTCACGTGAACGCGCTCTCAGCCGGACAGAGAAACCCTGGTTGATTTACTGAGTTGATAACCAGCTTCGTAGGACCGCTTATCGACATCGCGTTTGTTAGGGTCAGTTAAGCCGGGTAAATCGAACATGTCCAGGTCCAGGGTCTGTTGAACTGGCTTCGTCGTACAGGGCACTGGAGGCAGTAACGTGTAACTCAGCAGAATCTGAGAAGAGCAGCACCAGCTGCAAAGAGCTGTGCCTTTTACTGTTGACTTCACTGCGTTTCCCTTCATTAGAACCGCTGATAGAGATCGAGGCTGCTACGTTTAACCACACACACCTATACACACATCGAACTACCAGAGTATTCTCCCTCGTTTTATGAAGGAGATGTCCTGTCACCGGGGCGCATGATGTGTGTGTGTGTGCTCAGCTCCGCTCTGTGTGCGTGTTCGTGTGTATCCGACACCACCGGCATTTGTTTTCAAATTACCACGAACAGTACTTTAAACAAATCTGGTTCCCCATAGTTAAGTGTATTCCCAAGTGAAAGAAATGTGTTTAATCTTAATCTCGATGTGCTATAGTCCTGCCGGAGTGCACCGGAACGAACGATACTATCATAAACAAATGCCCCCACACACACACGCACACAAAACGAGGCCATGCTTTATTAACTCGTGCGCACGCTTTAGTAACTCGTGCGCACGCTTTAGTAACTCGTGCGCACGCTTTAATAACTCGTGCGCACGCTTTAGTAACTCGTGCGCACGAGTTACTAAAGCGTGCGCACGAGAAAGTAAAACGTGGCCACGTTTTATTTATTTTTCTCTCTATGAACCCTCCAGGGCTCCGTAGAAATTAAATGTGTTTTAAACGTATTTTTCTCAAATGTGTATTTTTTCACATATTCTGACTTTTTCTCAAATTCTGACTTTTTTCTTATATATTTGACTTTTTCTCAGATTTCTGACTTCTTTCACAAATGTCTATCTTTTCTCAAATGTAAATGTTTTCTCAAATTTGACTTTTATCAGCAGTGTGTCCTCTGCTGCTTCAACCTTCCTAAATGTTCCCACACCACTCCGCTCCTCCGCTCCCTCCACTGGCTTCCGGTAACTGCTAGAATCCACTTCAAGACACTGGTACTTGCGTACCATGCTGCGAATGGATCTGGCCCTTCCTACATCCAGGACATGGTTAAACCGTACACCCCAGCGCGTGCACTACGCTCTGCATCAGCCAAACGACTCGTTGCGCCCTCGCTGCGAGGGGGACCCAAGTTCCCATCAGCAGAAACACGTGGGTTTGCTGTCCTGGCTCCAAAATGGTGGAATGAGCTCCCCATTGACATCAGGACAGCAGAAAGCTTACACACCTTCCAGACTGAAAATCATCATCTCTTTCGACTCCACTTCGAGCGATAGAACTATTAACAAAGCACTTATATACTAATAAAGGACTGGCTCATCTAAAGCCAGTTGAGTAGCACTTGAAATGTTTGGCTCTATGAAACCTGATGTACTTTATGATTCTGTTTTCTTCAAGGTTGTATTTTGTTGGTCGAACGCACGTATTGTAAGTCGCTTTGGATAAAAGCGTCAGCTAAATGCAATGTAATGTAATGCTGCCCCCTAGTGGTCCCAGTCTATAATCCTTCATGCTGCTGTAGATTGGGGATGGTGGTATGTCTCTGTACAGATTGATACTGTTGTATTGAAATGTGACCTTTGTTATACAATTTTTATTTTAACAAATTATGACTTTCTCTTTTACAAGTTCTGACTTTTTTCTCAAATCTGGCTTTGTTCACTAAATTATTAAATGTCTCACATTTCTCCAATCTGGACTGTTTTCACAAATTTCACTCTTTTCTCAAATGTCACTTTTACTCAGAGTTTAGAGACTCATTCCCACCTGTCTCCCGCAGAGTTTAGAGACTCATTCCCACCTGTCTCCCGCAGAGTTTAGAGACTCATTCCCACCTGTCTCCCGCAGAGTTTAGAGACTCATTCCCACCTGTCTCCCGCAGAGTTTAGAGACTCACTCCCACCTGTCTCCCGCAGAGTTTAGAGACTCACTCCCACCTGTCTCCCGCAGAGTTTAGAGACTCATTCCCACCTGTCTCCTGCAGAGTTTAGAGACTCATCCCCACCTGTCTCCCGCAGAGTTTAGAGACTCATTCCCACCTGTCTCCCGCAGAGTTTAGAGACTCATTCCCACCTGTCTCCTGCAGAGTTTAGAGACTCATTCCCACCTGTCTCCTGCAGAGTTTAGAGACTCATTCCCACCTGTCTCCTGCAGAGTTTAGAGTCTCATCCCCACCTGTCTCCCGCAGAGTTTAGAGACTCATTCCCACCTGTCTCCCGCAGAGTTTAGAGACTCATCCCCACCTGTCTCCCGCAGAGTTTAGAGACTCATCCCCACCTGTCTCCCGCAGAGTTTAGAGACTCATTCCCACCTGTCTCCCGCAGAGTTTAGAGACTCATTCCCACCTGTCTCCTGCAGAGTTTAGAGACTCATCCCCACCTGTCTCCTGCAGAGTTTAGAGACTCATTCCCACCTGTCTCCTGCAGAGTTTAGAGACTCATTCCCACCTGTCTCCTGCAGAGTTTAGAGACTCATCCCCACCTGTCTCCCGCAGAGTTTAGAGACTCATCCCCACCTGTCTCCCGCAGAGTTTAGAGACTCATTCCCACCTGTCTCCCGCAGAGTTTAGAGACTCATCCCCACCTGTCTCCCGCAGAGTTTAGAGACTCATTCCCACCTGTCTCCCGCAGAGTTTAGAGACTCATTCCCACCTGTCTCCCGCAGAGTTTAGAGACTCATTCCCACCTGTCTCCTGCAGAGTTTAGAGACTCATCCCCACCTGTCTCCTGCAGAGTTTAGAGACTCATCCCCACCTGTCTCCCGCAGAGTTTAGAGACTCATTCCCACCTGTCTCCCGCAGAGTTTAGAGACTCATTCCCACCTGTCTCCCGCAGAGTTTAGAGACTCATCCCCACCTGTCTCCTGCAGAGTTTAGAGACTCATTCCCACCTGTCTCCCGCAGAGTTTAGAGACTCATTCCCACCTGTCTCCCGCAGAGTTTAGAGACTCATTCCCACCTGTCTCCCGCAGAGTTTAGAGACTCATTCCCACCTGTCTCCCGCAGAGTTTAGAGACTCATTCCCACCTGTCTCCCGCAGAGTTTAGAGACTCATCCCCACCTGTCTCCCGCAGAGTTTAGAGACTCATTCCCACCTGTCTCCCGCAGAGTTTAGAGACTCATTCCCACCTGGTCTCCCGCAGAGTTTAGAGACTCATCCCCACCTGTCTCCCGCAGAGTTTAGAGACTCATTCCCACCTGTCTCCCGCAGAGTTTAGAGACTCATTCCCACCTGTCTCCTGCAGAGTTTAGAGACTCATTCCCACCTGTCTCCCGCAGAGTTTAGAGACTCATCCCCACCTGTCTCCTGCAGAGTTTAGAGACTCATCCCCACCTGTCTCCTGCAGAGTTTAGAGACTCATCCCCACCTGTCTCCTGCAGAGTTTAGAGACTCATTCCCACCTGTCTCCTGCAGAGTTTAGAGACTCATCCCCACCTGTCTCCCGCAGAGTTTAGAGACTCATCCCCACCTGTCTCCTGCAGAGTTTAGAGACTCATTCCCACCTGTCTCCTGCAGAGTTTAGAGACTCATTCCCACCTGTCTCCCGCAGAGTTTAGAGACTCATTCCCACCTGTCTCCTGCAGAGTTTAGAGACTCATCCCCACCTGTCTCCTGCAGAGTTTAGAGACTCATCCCCACCTGTCTCCCGCAGAGTTTAGAGACTCATTCCCACCTGTCTCCTGCAGAGTTTAGAGACTCATCCCCACCTGTCTCCTGCAGAGTTTAGAGACTCATCCCCACCTGTCTCCTGCAGAGTTTAGAGACTCATCCCCACCTGTCTCCTGCAGAGTTTAGAGACTCATCCCCACCTGTCTCCCGCAGAGTTTAGAGACTCATCCCCACCTGTCTCCTGCAGAGTTTAGAGACTCGTTCCTACCTGTCTCCTGCAGTCAGCGCTCCTAGCTTCTCCTCTCCAGGCAGAGGGACAGATTGATCCTCCAGGATTCTCTGGATCTGAAGCTCTATTTCTCGGGGGGAAAGCAGACGACCCGCTCGATAAACCCAAAGGCGGAAGTAGCGCCCCCGGTGGTAGACGGCGATAAACTCACTGTCCTGCCAGTGCTGCAGAACATCTGAGGAGAGAGGAGGCCAGGTTATATATCTGTTTTTATTACATGACTTAGTTGAATACTCGATTCTGATTGGTCAATTCAGAACACGTGACACGTTGTTAATCCAGAACAGACAGACCGATGTCAAGGATTTATTGACCGGTGTCAAGGACTTATTGACCAGTGTAAAGGACTTATTGACCGATGTCAAGGACTTATTGACCGATGTCAAGGACTTATTGACCGATGTCAAGGACTTATTGACCGGTGTCAAGGACTTATTGACCGGTGTCAAGGACTTATTGACCGGTGTCAAGGACTTATTGACCGGTGTCAAGGACTTATTGACCGATGTCAAGGACTTATTGACTAGTGTCAAGGACTTATTGATCGATGTCAAGGACTTATTGATCGATGTCAAGGACTTATTGACCGATGTCAAGGACTTATTGACCGATGTCAAGGACTTATTGACCGGTGTCAAGGACTTATTGACCGGTGTCAAGGACTTATTGACCGATGTCAAGGACTTATTGACCAGTGTCAAGGACTTATTGATCGATGTCAAGGACTTATTGATCGATGTCAAGGACTTATTGACCGGTGTCAAGGACTTATTGACCAGTGTCAAGGACTTATTGACCGGTGTCAAGGACTTATTGACCGGTGTCAAGGACTTATTGACCGTTGTTAAGGACGTATTGACCGATGTCAAGGACTTATTGACCGCTGTCAAGGACTTATTGACCAGTGTCAAGGACTTATTGACCAGTGTCAAGGACTTATTGACCAGTGTCAAGGACTTATTGACCAGTGTCAAGGACTTATTGACCGGTGTAAAGGACTTATTGACCGTTGTTAGGACTTATTGACCGTTGTTAAGGACTTATTGACCGCTGTCAAGTACTTATTGACCGGTGTTAAGGACTTATTGACCGGTGTTAAACCGTACACCCCAGCGCGTGCACTACGCTCTGCATCAGCCAAATGACTCGTTGCGCCCTCGCTGCGAGGGGGACCCAAGTTCCCATCGGCGAAAACACGTGGGTTTGCTGTCCTGGCTCCAAGATGGTGGAATGAGCTCCCCATTGACATCAGGACGGCAGATAGCTTGCACATCTTCCGGCGCAAACTGAAAACTCATCTCTTTCGACTCCACTTCGAGCGTTAGAACTATTAACGAAGCACTTTTATACTAATAAAGGACTGGCTTACCTAAAGCCAGTTGAGTAGCACTTGAAATGTTTGGCTCTATGAAACCTGATGTACTTATATGATTCTGTTTTCTTCAAGGTTGTGTCTTCCTGGTCGAATGTACTTATTGTAAGTCGCTTTGGATAAAAGCGTCAGCTAAATGCAATGTAATGTAATGTAATGTAATGTTAAGGACTCATTGACCGGTGTCAAGGACTTATTGACCGGTGTCAAGGACTTATTGACCGTTGTTAAGGACTTATTGACCGGTGTCAAGGACTTATTGACCGTTGTCAAGGACTTATTGACCGCTGTTAAAGACGCTCACATCTGCAGAAAGAAGTTTGGTCGATTTAACTGCATACAGTTTGGAACTGGGTCAAGAAAACAGCGGAGAAGTAACGGGGCAGAAACCTCCTTGTTACGCAGCGGTCCAGACATAGACATCAAACGGCGACACATATTCAGTTGCCAGTTACTTTGGCATTAGGGCAGGGATATCTAGATACTTTCCAAGGTTTGACATAATGAAGTGTTCTACTTTTAAAGCAAGCAACAATGTTTTCAAATCTGTAATCAAAAAGCTCCTCAAAAGCGCTATCGAAGCAGTTCCTGCCGTTGCTACGTTAGTTCAAACGGTAACAACGGACTACTTTTCTCAGCGGATGCATGTAATTTCAAATCAATAATAGCGAACTATTTTTTAAATCAATAAAAACATTTTCTAAATCTATAAAAGCATTTCAATTAATATTGGGAGTCATGTCGTTACTTTGTTGAGAATGTGGCCATGTGATAAGCGGATAATGTGCAGCGACCTGGTCATTATGGGGAACACCCGACCGGCGGATCAGGATCCCTCCGCTTCCTAGTCCGCCTGTCGGTGTTCTTTTACCCATAAGGACCGCCTCGCTGCACATTATCCCTTACATATTCTATCGTACCTATACTAAACCAATATTTAGACTGACTGATACATGCTTTTGTGTTTAGCGTTGGATTAGTTTTAGTAGGTTAGTGTTATAGACTACTTTCCAACAGTGGGTTCCCAGACATTTTGAGTACCCCAAGTTTAAATGTTTCTCAAATTTTGATTTGTTCAAATGTCACTTGTCAACATTTTAAACCAATATTCAGACTTATTGATAAATGCTTTAGTGTTTAGGTTTAGATTAGCATTTAGAAACTGAAGGGTGCTAACTTGCATATGTTGGGTAATTAGCATGATTAGCATAATCACTAATATGGACCATATAGGCAGATTTTGGAGAGGTTTTTCGGGGTTAAGGGGGAAGCTGAATCCATTTCTAAACTTTGAGGATCGAAGATTAAACTTTAAATCAATGAAGTGGCGACCCTCGGTCCACCTATGTTTTAGCAGATTTTCAGGTGTAAAGATGGACTGGATTGGGCAGGTAGCTCAGGTATTTGAAACAGTTGTAATTATGTCGGTCCATAAAGGTGATTATGCAAATTTGCTTGTGAATGTTTCCGTATAATGCATTTACAATACGGGACTCATTGTGGCAGTGAAATGTGCGCTGTGTGTGTGTGTGTGTGTGTGTGTTACCTGTCTCCTCTCCAGGTGTTCTTGTTGTGTTGAACATCCTCTCACACTGGGCGGCACACAGAGGGATGACGGTGCCTGGAACTCGACTCTGAAACACAAACACTTCTATTAATATCATTTAATATTTATTTTCTTTATTAAAACAGGCATTTTTCAAAACTAAGAGAAGAACTGAAGCAGAAAGCCAGAACAAATATTGACTTTAATCTCAGAATTTAAAAAAAATCTCAAATTTGACTATTTTCTTTATAATTTGAAAAAAAAATGTATTTGAATTTTTTCTCAGAATTCTAACTTATTTCTAAGATTTCACTTTTTTCTGAGAATTAAGATTTTTTTCCCCAAATTAGAATTTTTTCTGAAATATGACTTTTTCATGGCTTCACCATTTCCTTCCAGACGCTTTGCAAACATGCTTCTCCACCCACAAAACCCCCAGAATGCAGCAGGGCTCACCGGTTTGAGTTCCTCGCGGTTCACTTTGCGTCGGTACAGCAGCAGGGCGGTGATGGTGTTTCCGGCCCGAGCCGCCTGCACCGAAGTGGGAGAAACGTAGAGGAAGTCCTGCGGAGAAAAGGACGTTAAACAACTGATGAAACTCTGGAGGGGCTTCACACAGGAACACAGGACGTTTAGACACTGATGAAACTCTGGAGGGGCTTCACAGGAACACAGGACGTTTAGACACTGATGAAACTCTGGAGGGGCTTCACAGAAACACAGGACGTTTAGACACTGATGAAACTCTGGAGGGGCTTCACAGGAACACAGGACGTTTAGACACTGATGAAACTCTGGAGGGGCTTCACAGGAACAGAGGACGTTTAGACACTGATGAAACTCTGGAGGGGCTTCACAGAAACACAGGACGTTTAGACACTGATGAAACTCTGGAGGGGCTTCACAGGAACACAGGACGTTTAGACACTGATGAAACTCTGGAGGGGCTTCACAGAAACACAGGACGTTTAGACACTGATGAAACTCTGGAGGGGCTTCACAGAAACACAGGACGTTTAGACACTGATGAAACTCTGGAGGGGCTTCACAGAAACACAGGACGTTTAGACACTGATGAAACTCTGGAGGGGCTTCACAGGAACACAGGACGTTTAGACACTGATGAAACTCTGGAGGGGCTTCACAGGAACACAGAACGTTTAGACACTGATGAAACTCTGGAGGGGCTTCACAGGAACACAGGACGTTTAGACACTGATGAAACTCTGGAGGGGCTTCACAGGAACACAGGACGTTTAGACACTGATGAAACTCTGGAGGGGCTTCACAGGAACACAGGACGTTTAGACACTGATGAAACTCTGGAGGGGCTTCACAGAAACACAGGACGTTTAGACACTGATGAAACTCTGGAGGGGCTTCACAGGAACACAGGACGTTTAGACACTGATGAAACTCTGGAGGGGCTTCACAGGAACAGAGGACGTTTAGACACTGATGAAACTCTGGAGGGGCTTCACAGGAACACAGGACGTTTAGACACTGATGAAACTCTGGAGGGGCTTCACAGGAACACAGGACGTTTAGACACTGATGAAACTCTGGAGGGGCTTCACAGAAACACAGGACGTTTAGACACTGATGAAACTCTGGAGGGGCTTCACAGGAACACAGGACGTTTAGACACTGATGAAACTCTGGAGGGGCTTCACAGGAACACAGGACGTTTAGACACTGATGAAACTCTGGAGGGGCTTCACAGGAACACAGGACGTTTAGACACTGATGAAACTCTGGAGGGGCTTCACAGAAACACAGGACGTTTAGACACTGATGAAACTCTGGAGGGGCTTCACAGAAACACAGGACGTTTAGACACTGATGAAACTCTGGAGGGGCTTCACAGAAACACAGGACGTTTAGACACTGATGAAACTCTGGAGGGGCTTCACAGGAACACAGGACGTTTAGACACTGATGAAACTCTGGAGGGGCTTCACAGGAACAGAGGACGTTTAGACACTGATGAAACTCTGGAGGGGCTTCACAGAAACACAGGACGTTTAGACACTGATGAAACTCTGGAGGGGCTTCACAGGAACACAGGACGTTTAGACACTGATGAAACTCTGGAGGGGCTTCACACAGGAACACAGGACGTTTAGACACTGATGAAACTCTGGAGGGGCTTCACAGAAACACAGGACGTTTAGACACTGATGAAACTCTGGAGGGGCTTCACACAGGAACACAGGACGTTTAGACACTGATGAAACTCTGGAGGGGCTTCACAGGAACACAGGACGTTTAGACACTGATGAAACTCTGGAGGGGCTTCACAGAAACACAGGACGTTTAGACACTGATGAAACTCTGGAGGGGCTTCACACAGGAACACAGGACGTTTAGACACTGATGAAACTCTGGAGGGGCTTCACAGGAACACAGGACGTTTAGACACTGATGAAACTCTGGAGGGGCTTCACAGGAACACAGGACGTTTAGACACTGATGAAACTCTGGAGGGGCTTCACAGGAACACAGGACGTTTAGACACTGATGAAACTCTGGAGGGGCTTCACAGAAACACAGGACGTTTAGACACTGATGAAACTCTGGAGGGGCTTCACACAGGAACACAGGACGTTTAGACACTGATGAAACTCTGGAGGGGCTTCACAGGAACACAGGACGTTTAGACACTGATGAAACTCTGGAGGGGCTTCACACAGGAACACAGGACGTTTAGACACTGATGAAACTCTGGAGGGGCTTCACACAGGAACATGGAGGAAGAGTAAAGGTTATACAGTTATTGTATCTGAAAGGAAAACAAGAAGAGGGGATTCAAAAGGGTTTTTAGGAGCTGAATTAACCTTTTGAGCAATTTAGTATTAATATCTGATTATTTACCAACATTATATTTTAGTGCAATGTGCACATTTCTTATTGGATTTGATTGTACATTTGTATTTATGTGTTTTATTTTAATAAATTCATTTATATATGTTTTAATTTCATTATCATTTTACTTTAAAGGTCCCATGTCATGGCCATTTCCACTGATCATAATTCCATTGTTGAGGTCGACTAGAATAGAACAATACTGTGCAATGTTCCAAACTCACATTGGTTTCTCATACAGCATCTCTGTAAACTACGTGTATTCACTCTCTCCACTAAACGGCTCGTTGCAGCTCTTGCCCCCCCCTCCCTGTGAGCCCAGTGTGCTCCGATTGGTCGGGACCAGTCGGGACGTTGTGAATCGCGCTGAGCTCCGTGGAGGTGTGATTTCCTTGTTTAGCGATACACAGCGAAACACAGCCAAACTCACCCTGAGCACACAAAGTCACAGCCGAAGTAAAAACAATAAGTGTGGCTTGATGTTGATAAACGCTGTGAGAATGGGTCTGCAGAGAGAATGGGTCTGCAGAGAGAGAGAATGGGTCTGCAGTGAGAATGGGTCTGCAGAGAGAACGGGTCTGCAGAGAGAATGGGTCTGCAGTGAGAATGGGTCTGCAGAGAGAACGGGTCTGTAGAGAGAATGGGTCTGCAGAGAGAACGGGTCTGCAGAGAGAATGGGTCTGCAGAGAGAATGGGTCTGCAGAGAGAACGGGTCTGCAGAGAGAATGGGTCTGCAGAGAGAACGGGTCTGCAGAGAGAATGGGTCTGCAGAGAGAATGGGTCTGCAGTGAGAATGGGTCTGCAGTGAGAATGGGTCTGCAGTGAGAATGGGTCTGCAGAGAGAACGGGTCTGCAGAGAGAATGGGTCTGCAGAGAGAATGGGTCTGTAGAGAGAATGGGTCTGCAGAGAGAATGGGTCTGTAGAGAGAACGGGTCTGCAGAGAGAACGGGTCTGCAGAGAGAATGGGTCTGCAGAGAGAACGGGTCTGCAGTGAGAATGGGTCTGCAGAGAGAACGGGTCTGTAGAGAGAATGGGTCTGTAGAGAGAATGGGTCTGCAGAGAGAATGGGTCTGCAGAGAGAACGGGTCTGTAGAGAGAATGGGTCTGTAGAGAGAACGGGTCTGCAGAGAGAACGGGTCTGCAGAGAGAACGGGTCTGCAGAGAGAACGGGTCTGCAGAGAGAATGGGTCTGTAGAGAGAATGGGTCTGTAGAGAGAATGGGTCTGCAGTGAGAACGGGTCTTGTAGAGTTATATTTGTATTTATTCATGTTAGCAAACTATGGATAAGCTTAAAATGGGAATAATTTGGGTAAAACTGTGAGCTGCATTTGGGGCCTGTTGACATGTGTTTTTGAGGACAAAGGATGATGGGGGAAGGTGAGAGCATGTCCTGATTTGCATTCAACTTAGAACGAGCTACAGTGGTTGTGCTATTAAGAGAGGTCCCTTGGGTTTCTCTGGTGCTTATCAATAGTAGCAGTTAAGTGAATACTGTTCAAACAATACCTGTGTTTGTGTTTTATATTGATTTCTCTGTTTTATCCTTTCATAAATGTAAGGACTACAAATGGCTATAAACATTCTGGGCTGGTTGGAGTAAACAGGGTTTTATGGCTCTGTGGGGGAGGTGTAGGTATGCAGGCCTTGAGACCTTTTGTTGGAAAGTGAGCCTGTTTGGTTTCCTGCTGCGTTGCGTCTCCCAATGAGATGACCTGAAAAGATGACCAGCTGACCTAACACCAAACCCCTCCTTCTTACTCTGGTATATATCCGGTGGATCCCTGGCGTTCGGCCTCTTCTTCACATGCTGCGCTCGGGTGAAAGTAGCTCTGCAGTATGCGGACTAGAGCAGGAGTAAGCCGGCATTACTCCTTAAGCATTGCAATATAACTGTAATATATCATGTTGTATTGTAATGATTGTATTGCATTGTCATATTGCCATTAAAGTAGATTATTGTTAACGGTTACTTTGTAGATATGGATTCCTTCCTGTATTATAACCAGCTTCATAGGAACGCGCGGAGATTTGAAAAGCGGACCAGTTATCCCTCCAAATCTCTAACAAAATGGTGACCCGACGTCTATAACGAAGCTGAGGAAGAATTCAGACGCTTTCAAACATCTCAGACAATCAGCAGGACTCTGCAACTTTGCAAATAAGGTAAGCAGACGATGAAAGTCGCCTGTCTGTAATTGGATACGCTAAAACGTTAGGATTGTCTGTAGGCGTTTCACAGTGTTTTTATAGTTTAAATGGAATATACAATGCATATTTTACTATGTTAGGAAAGTTATATACAAAACGTAAACGTGGATCGACAGGTAGACGAAAGTCCTGCGTGACGAGAAATAGAGCAGTTTGGCGCGGATCTGCAGGTGTTTATTCCTGAGTGGCGTAGAAATGGTGCAGTTTGTGTGAATGCGAGGTTTGAATCCTGCACGGCAAAACCTGAAAACTCGATAAATCAGATCGAGTCGCCGTTTAAAACTGGGGTTTAAATAACAGACCAATGCTAAAAGCTTAAAGCCAGAGGTCTGTTATATATTAAACCAAGGTAGAGCGTTTCCCTTTGTCTGGAAACTTCTGCTGCTGCCATCTAGTGGCTGAAAGGGGGTATCACACCCTTGAAACTTCTGCTGCTGCCATCTAGTGGCTGAAAGGGGGTATCACACCCTTGAAACTTATGCGAGCTTA